AAAGAGAGAGGGCGAGCGAGCGCGCGCAAGAAGTAAGAGTATCGAGGGGCATCGAGCCTCGCGGAGCTCGCGAGGAACGAGTATTCCTCTCCCTCGTCCCTTCTCGAGACCGCTCCCTCTCGCTCCCTCCCTCCCTCTCTCTCTTCCCGGCGTAGAAGCAATCGAGTTTGCGCTCGGTCCGAGTCGGCTAGCCTACGGGAATTCGGTCCGCCGGCTAGGATGCCGGCCGAGGGAAGGTCGCGCTGTGAGGTCCCCGGTACCGCGGGACGATCCGCTCCTTCCCGATCGCGATCCTCCTCGGCAGGGTTTTTCTCGACGAGCCAACTTCCGCGCCACCCGAGACCCTCTTCCCGTATTTCCCGGCATGGAGGCGATCGAGTTAGCCCGCGAGAGTTCCCTCTGGCGGGAAGGTAGCGGCCCTGGGAAGGTCACGTCGCGGGCTCTCCGCGTTCCTCCGAGGGAGCAGAAATCGAGTTAGGGATCTCTTTTCGTCGGATCCGGCGGGGAGCCTTCCTGGACTCCTAACCCGTCACGGCTGCGAACTCCTTCAAACAAAGTTGCTAAGGGGCGTAACGGTATCGGAAGGGTAACAAGATACGGCATACCTGGGGATGCCAGATAAAGCTGTCGACGATGGAGCATTGTTCCATAGAGCCGCCGACTGGCCTGGAACAACCCTTCACACTTTTGGACAACCTTTTACCTCTCGTGAGGGTGATGACCCCCTGAAAAGTTTCCAGGGGATCCTCCGCTGGAAACGCGTCGTCAGGGCGACGAATCGCGACGCGAGAACCGATTTTAAGACCCATCCGTGCAGAGTCATCGGTTTAATACGTCTCCAAATATTGAGAGCAGAAAAATGTGGAATGCTTTTGATTTCCTGTTGCGATACCTCCCTACCATCTTTTCGGTGAAAATATCGGCCCTAATCTCCGACACTGTCATTTACGGACGGATACGAAAACGTATCAACACCTCGATATAAATCTAAGACCCCGTTTCCATTAGTGCACAGTAGTTCCATAGTGCAGTTTGAAGGCCCTAAGAAACGTCCCGACACCCATGAAATTTAATTTTTTTTTCTAAAACGTCAGAAAAATGTTTATGAAGAAATTTTAGAAATTGAAATATAGGAAGTAAGAAGAAAGCATAATATACAGCAACCGCTAGGTATAACCCTATCCAATAGCGGTGGTAGAAAGGTGATAAAACACCGTGCCGAGTCTAAAATAATCGGCCTGATATAAAAAAAGGAGAAGCACGCGAAAAAAGTGAAATAATAATAGACACACGTCCTCCCGAAGATATACAGGCTAATAATCGTAAAGGTCGATGTCTGCTACCAAACCAAAGAAAAATGTCAAGGGGGTCAGGACCTTCGTCGAGGCTTCCACGTCGCCCCACATTCGCGTGGTAAGATTTGAAAAACGATTCGGTGCACCTGGTTCGGAGAAAAGTTTCAAAAAGGAGACCCCTCGGAGGCCACTTTCGTATCGCCATAAACCGTCGACAATGGGGAAGAAAACTATCTCCCGTCAGGAGGAGTCCTGGTTTGGGGCAACCAGGTGTCCTCGGACGCTTTCGGCTCCCCGTGCCCGACACCACGCAGCGGCCCCCCGAGGGAGAAACCTGACTCTCCGAAGATCCCTGGGCGACCCGAGCACTGACCCAGTAATCCTCATCCGTTCTCGGGACTCCAGATCGCAAATCTGGACGTTCACCAGCCGATGCCCACCACGATCTCCCGTTTCCGATCCCTGGACAAGGCCGCGCCCCAATTAAGGACTCACCGGGACCCCCGAGATCCAAGGCAGGCCTAATGACTACAGAATCGGAGGCTGCGAGGTAAGACCTGGACCCATGGATTTCTAAGAGTGGCGAACTTCCATCCGATTTTGGTAATTCCAGGTCCCGGGTCCCAAATCCCATGGTCCGCCCTAGACTCGCCACGGACGTTCACCAGCTGGTGCCACGGAGACGTGCTCTTAATTCGGCGAACCCCTGATCAAGGCCGATCCCGATGATCGGGCATCTCGGAAATGATCAGGATCCCTGAATCCCGGGAACCGAGCAGCCAGACTCCGAACGCGCTGGACCGGGCCCGGCATCCGCAATTTTTCGGTTAAATTATGGAAAACGTCCCGCAGCTTGTTATTTAGGAACGCATAATAGGACAGGGAGCCTGGACCGGTAGAGATCCGAATATATGCACGGGCTTCGTCGTTGGTGTGGGATTGCTCCCGTCTGGTTGCCACGCCGGAATAATATACGCAGATAGGAGAGGCTGTGAGCCCGATACACGGTGGGAAGGGATTCGGTTAAGAATCGGCTGGAAGGTATTGCCGCCCGCTGCCATTAGCGTCCTGGTAATGCGAGCTTCTTCTGCCCCGCCATCGGGAACCATCCTCCGACGTTAAACCCGCTCTCGAGCCCTCGCCGAGGATGAATATAAAGCGCGATTAAGTTTCCAGGAGAAACGAGCGGGACCCTAAAACCCTGTCGTTTAATTAGCCATTAACTTTATATTGTATACTCATTATCGATTGACAAATACTGCTCCTCCGTCGCGAGAAGAGCCGGTTGCTCCGAACGCGCGCGTAAACTTCCTTTAGGATAGGACGGGTCTCGACCGTTTCCACGACTAATCCTGGTTCCTTGTAATCGTATAAAACCGAAAGGCCTTTTGGAACGTCGTATCCCTGTTCCTCGTGATTATGTAAAATTGAAACGCCTCATGGAATCATATCGCATCTTCGCCCCTCGTGATTGTTCAAAAGTGAGAGGCAACATGGAACGAAATCGAGTTACTCTTACGGATAGTATAAATCCAATTCAACTCAAAGAATAGTCGCATCCCTGTTCTTTGTGCTCATGTAAAATTGAAACGCCGCATGAAATCGTATAACATCCTTATTCTTTGCGATTATACGGCATTCTGACGCCTAGGGGAAAATCATGTCGCGTTTTCGTTTCTTGCGACTATGCAATACTGATTGCTAGACACGTGTAGTCCTATCAAATTCCTATTCCTTGCAATTGTACACGTAATTGCTTCGACTCAAGGGATCACATCGTTGTTCGCTTTGACGATACAAAATTGAGACGCCTCTTGGAGTCACATCACGCGCCTTGTTCGCCGATCTGGACCAAGCTGTCAATCGACCTGACATATGTTTCCAGCTTAGAAGACCCACGTTCGCCAGGGACAACTCCGCGATAATGCGAAGGGTCGCTTAGCCCCCGTCATCTCTGGAGAGCTACAGATAATATACAGCGAGCCCTGACTGGAGATTAACCGAGTAATCGACTCCCAAAGAAGGTGTCCGTAAGCCGCCTCGACCGGGCGCTCGGGGAGCGATCATTAATCACGATTTGAGGGATATCTTTCAGCCCTGGTATGACGAGACCCAAAGTCGATTTGACTCAACCGTTTCTCTATTACTCCCGAGTAATATTAATTATGTTCACGGGAGGTGCACTTCGCGTCGCTAAAACTAACGTCTCAAAGAAGTTAACTACCCCCAGGTCGTTACCCTGGGACGTAAAGCCTTCGGTGCAGACTTTGCAACATTCCGAACCGTCGAGGTCACATTCCCCTCGGTATTTTACGTGACGTCAGCGTGAGACTTCTCCTTTTTTAATATTATCGTTGGACGAAATGAAAACGTTTATAGTATCGTCACGTGTAGTGGAAACTTTGGAACGCACGTATTCGAGGTGGGAATGTTCTCCTGCGGGACATTGATAGCTAGTAAGAGCTATGAGCGTATAGGATATGTACTGACCTCACACACTGATCAGACTGTGGAGATAGAACTAAAAGAGAGAAAGAGAGAAAACAAAGGGGGTATTTTCTGGCGCCCTTTTTCCTGCCTTCGGGACAATCAAGGGAATGATTGAATTTGTAAAGTCTACGTCTCTTATGTTGATCCACCTGACGAGTAATTTCCATGGATGGGGAATATATGGATATATAACATTAAACTATGATAACAGGAGAAATGAAAGAGAAAACAAGGAAATCGTTTCCTCGCGCTTTCTCTCTGATTCTGCGCGAAACAGCAGCGCAGTGCAATACGGTGGCAGACTGTTTAACAAGAGAAAGAGAGAGAAAGAGAGAGAGACAAAGGCCAGCCCCTCTGTTCGCTTTCTTCCCCTTTCGCTAACTTTCCAAGAATATCGAGAGAACGATTGAGTTTGCGGAATCCATGTTTCCCACGTTCATGCATTAAACGCGTAGTTGCCATAGACATCGGATATATAAATATGTAACCGTGATCCATGGAGACAGTAGAAACGAAAGAGGGAAAACAATCGCGCTCTTAAGTGCGCGCATTTTCTTGCTATAAATTGTATGTATTCAATTTAATTCAATATTCATTTCTTGAAGCTTCTACGACCTTTATCGACAGATATCACAAGGCCTCAACGATCTTTAATAGCGACTCGTTCTTCGCCGCGTTAAAGGTCACTTGCTCACTTTTACAAACTACTTGCATAAGAAATTATTTATTAACGGGTGACCAGTCGTCCGTTAAAATTTTGCGTTGGCTCGTTACTTTAATCGAATTATTAGACTTAGTTTTTTTTTTTTCGGACATTTTGACTGTCTGACTCCGGTGAACATTTGTCGCGATTGGTCCGTACTATAGTGCTGTATTCGCAATTAACGTGTCCATACAGCGGAAGCAAGACGCGCCAATACTGGCGAGAGGCAAGGCCGGGCGGAAAAAAATTGACATAGGAAAGGTTGCTCAGCGTAATTTGGCAACAGTCTACCTAACAAGAGAGAAAGAGCGAGGAACGATATCCTCTCCGTTCACGGTTTTGTTTTCCGCTACCCCCGCAAGCCTATCGAGGGAACATTGAGTTCGCGAGGTCCTGGCATCCTCCGTGGCAGGAGCGGATCGGAGTGGCGGCCGCTTGACTGGGTCGCGCTCGCGCGCTCTGGGGGGATAAACGGGAACTCGCGGGTTCCCGCTAGTCAGCGCGGTGCTTACCTTGCTCCGCCCGGGTCCCTCGCAGGCACAGCACAAGGTAGGCAGCACAGGTGGCCAAGAGGAGGCCCGCGCCCGCCATATTGAAGGGGGCCATTCTTATCAGCCCTCCCGCCAACGGCCGATCCCCTCGATCGCGCGCGAGAGAGCGTCACTCTCGCCTCCTCATGCTAGTCCCCTTGGCCGGGGCCGCTCGCCGTCGGCAGGGCACGCGAGGGCGGCCCCGCGCCCGCTGCACGCACTGCACGCACTCGACACGCACCGCCGGCGGGACACGCAGACGCGGCGCAGGGCGTGCGGGCATCCAACGCGGCCCGGCACACGCACACGCGCGACCCTCGCAGACTGCTCCTCCTAATGACGAGGCGAGATCCGTCGCATTTCCCCCACCCCCGCCGGACACCGCTGGACGCCGCTAGACACCGCCACTCGCCGCCGACACTCGCCACCTGTGCCCGCCGCCGAGCCGCTTCCTTCTCCGCTGCTCCGCTTTGCTCCGCTCTGCTCCCCGAGAGAACCTATCGCAAACCAAAAAGCTCGGATTAGAACCTTCAAATGTATCGATTAAAATACACTGATAAAATTGAAGATTAATAATTTCCACCTGTCCCCTTATGGTTTTCAGGGGATGGTAGAATTTCGGCTTATTCGATCACAGAATCGTTGTATGGTGATATGAAAGCGGCACTTGAGAATGAGTCGTTTATGACATTTTCCTCCGAAATGTACGTGCCGGTATCGTTTGAATTTCAAATTTTACCACGTAAACACCTGAAGAGTCTAAGAGCGGTGCTACCGGCCGAGATTGCACTCTCTCAAATTTGTCGATAACAATTTTATTAATTGTTTACAAAAAAATAATCATATTCACGGCTTATTTACGTAGTAAAATTTACTACGATTCCGGACATCCGATTCTAAGTAAAGTATCCATAATCATACTCGGCGGTTGAACCGGAAATAATTTTCTCGAGTCAGACGAATATTTTGCGCGCGGAACGTCACGTGTATGGGAGATTCGGCTCATGGCCGAGTGGCCGCCCACCGAAAGTCGAAGGTTTGAATGGCGAATCTCCCCCCGAACTCGCGGAAAACAAAGAGTTGGAGGCGCGCGTAAACTAATCGGCGTTTCCTCCGGCCATTGGTCGAGGCCCCCCACCAACGAGCGAGTTCTCGAGGCTCGCGGTTTGTTTTCCCGCCGGCGCGCCGCGCCGGGCTTAATGATAGCCCTGAAGGAGCACCTTCTTGCCCGGTGTGCTCCCCGAGTGTGAGGTTAGGTAAGCTTGGGCTAGGTTGCGTAATCTCCCGGCGAGGCGACCCGCGTGCCGACCTGCCCGACCGACCGCGTTTTATAACCTCTTCCCTATCGGCGGATATATAGGTGCATCTGACTCGAGGCCGTTCCGGAGGCCCTCGACAGGGTCGTTCGGTGTACCTCTCGCTGAAAACAATGCGAACGCCCCCTCTTCACCCGGGCAAGCATTCCTACACTCGTCACCGCCGCCCTCGTCTACTGCGGCCGATGGAAACCGTAACAAAGAATTCCTACTTCCCTTTGTCCACGAATCAATTTCGACTCGACTCCCGAGATCAATCGGTCCCGTCAAAATTGATGAGACGAAAGTCAGCTCGAAAACGAGATCTTTAAGGAATATTGGAGTAACGGCTCTCTTAAGGCGACACCAAAGTGCCCTCCAAGGGGTATCGCGTTTATGACACTTTTCTACGAATTGGGTGTACCGAATCGTTTCACACGTTACAACGTGAACATGGAGGCTATAAGGAAGGTTCTGATACTCCTAAAATTTCATTTTTTCTAAAACATTTGGAAAATATTAATAAAGAAAATTGGAAAAAAAGAATTATAATTTTATAGGTGTCAGGATCTTCCTTATAGCATCCATGTTCACATTGTCAAGTTTGAAACGATTCGGTACACCCAGTTTGGAGAAGTTTCATAAACGAGACCTATTTGACGCCACTTTCACATCCCCTTAAGGAAGCTTCATCGTGCAATTTAATTTTCTTTTTATATAAAATTAAAAATATATCATCAACAAATTTAAAGAAGTGAAATTTCATGGGCGTCAATATCTTGCTTAGGGCCTCCGCATTCACGTGGGAAGATTTCAAACGATTCGGTACACCCGGTTCGGAGAGTTTCATAAACCATACCCCAGACGCCGCTTTCGCATCACCTTAAACATCTTGATCTTATTTTAGGAGCTATTTGCGGAGGGACGAAATTCGTAAAGCCGGGATACCCGGTCGCAGCGATGAGCTCGATAGTCGACAATGGCTCGCAATTTGTCGGGGGAGTCGGAGGTGAGTTTGAGAGGTCTTGAAGGGATCGGCACGATATCGCGGAGTGGCCACGAGCCCATTTCGAACGGTCGGTTAACCCGCGGCCCCCGATAGGCCGGAGGAGCGGCGAGACCCTTCGAGGGCTCCGAGACCGAGTCCTTAGCGAGAGTCCTTCCCTCTCCGCCAGAGTGCTCCACTTGCGGAGCGAGAAGGTCGCCGAGAGCCGCGGCCTCTGGTCCTTGCCTCGGGATAACGACCTGCCCCGACCACCGGTTGCCCTCGTCCGAAGGAGCCTCCCAAGGGACCCGGGACTCGCCCTTTCAAATCGCCCGGATTCGCCGCGGAACAATCGGACGAAATCGCGAGAAAAGAGGGTGCCCCCTTTTACGCGCCTTCGCGCGCCGGACCCTTCTCGTTTAAACGCTCGATGGCTTTCCCCCAAAAGCCCAGAGGTCTTAAGGTGAAGTGAAACACGTCGAGGAACTTGATCGACGTCGATAAAGAAGATTTTTCTAAACGCCTACGTTGCCGATGTTCGTTTTTATATTGACAGCTGTGTTGAATTATATTGGATATTGTATCAAATGGCATACTCCACATGTCGTTTTTGTACAATAAATATCAAGAAATCGAAGTAAAACTCCAGAAATCCTCTGGATTCATGCTTTCTGGGGCCCTAATTGACTGCAGAGGGACCCCCTGCACCATCTGTGATTTCCAGACCAATTAAATTTTCACTCCGAGACCTCGTATTCCCATCGTTTTGGCATAGAACCGCATACAATACTGTTTTTGCCTTTATCCCGTTCAAATGCGAGTTTATCGATTACCAGAGTGTTCTAAATTGTCGTAAAATTGTCCTGCCCCTTTCGTTTCTCATATCAGAGCCTTCGATAATTGTATATTGATCGAAATATGAGAGCTCGACGCCATTTTGGTTCTGGTCTGGGTTGAGTTAAACAATTTTTTTAAAAAATCCAAATTTTGAATGTGTCAGGACAATTCATAGATGATCAGGAGTGATGTGACAAAGTTTCGGACAGTTTGGTCTAATACCCTTAAAAAAAGTGTTGTATTCGAATTGACTGATTTGAAGGGAGTTTCACTTCACCTTAAGGGCATCCGCGATTGTTCAGACCTGGCTTCGGTGTAACAATTACGGCTATCTTGAAAAGTAAGGACGAGGTCCCACTGAGTGCGTCGCATCGATTCTTCAAGGATGAACGACTAATCGGATGGGCTCTTAAGGTGATATGAAAGTGAGAAAGTGAAAAGGGATCGATCGTTTATGGAACTTTATCCGGACTGAATCCACCGAATCGTTCAAATGTTTACCATGGGACTACAGAGGCTCTAAGGAAGGTCTTACCCCCATGAAATTTCATCTTTTTTTCATTTCTGAGTGGCAGGACTTTCCTTATTCCCAGTTCGGTGAAACAATTCATAACTGAGACGTTTATGGCGCCACATTCAATATCACCTTAAGGTGATGTGAAACTCGCGTCAAACCGATCGATTCGAATAAGACTCTATTTTTGAAGGGTATTCCAAATCGACGGAAAAATTATACGGATTAAAAAAAATTTCTCACATTTAACCGAGACTAGAACCAAAATTGCGTCTGCTTCCATATTTCGATGAATGTACAAATTTTGCAAGCTCTGCTGCGATGCACGAAAATGCCAGGACCGTTGCACTGTATAGAACGCTCTAATAATCGAGACACACGCATTTGAACGTGATAAAGGTAAAAGTGCCCTCGAAACTTTTGTGCCAATATGAAGGCAACACGTGCAGTGCACGAGCTCCCGGAGAGAAAATTGACTTGGCACTAAATGCAACAGTTGGCCCCTGCAGCCTATTAGAATACGAAAAATCAATAGTCCAGGAGATTTCATAATCTCTATATTAATTCTCCCGTAACAACATATGAAGTACGGCATTTCTTTTAAATACTCAATGTAGTACGACACAGCCGTCGATGTAAACATAAATGTCAGAAATAATGCGCGCTGTTTCAAATGGTACATCAGAATTCCGTTTTACCACCATCGATTAAATTCCTCAGCGCCTTTCACACCGTGATAACGCATAACGCGTACCACCATTTCGTCACATCGACGTGTTTATACAAATTGGGGCACCAGGAAACGCGAGCCTTAAGGGGGATCGACCGCCGTCACGAAAAGTCGTGGGAATCGACCGAGTAACGATTTTCCGCCCTCCGAAGATAACGCTTATCGCGGCGAGCGACTCCCTTTTCTGGAAAATAACGACGAGACCTCCCGCGACCTAATTGGGCTCTTTGGTCCTGATATGGGAAGCCTCTCGAGCTGGGTTAGATGACGGATGGTGCCTCGTTTGTCATTCGACTCGAAGATCTCAGAACTCGTGGGAAGAGCGAAGAGGAGCGAAGTGGAGCGAAGAGAATCTAGGCGAAAGGAGGAGAAACACGCCCCTGGGAGCGGTTTCGGGTGTTTCGGAGCAGCGGGACCAAACGCTGGCGAGTTGTCCGACACCTGTGCCGTTACGAGGAATGATTCCGCAGGGTGAATTGTTCCCAGAACGGCGAATCATTGGGGGCCCTCGAAGCGGTCGAACGACGGGACGCCAGATGGACGCCACCGAGGACCTCCAATGCTCGATCTGGAGCAACAAACGCGGCCGATCGATCGGTGCCCCAAAACGGTATCGCGACCCCCGCCGACCAAAAGAGTGCGTCGCGCTCCCAAGAGACAGCGCCGCCACCCAGAGAAATATCTAGCAACGTCGATTGGG